AAAAGCCATCTCCAATCATCTACAGAAGAATAAGATGAGCAGTTCATCAATTAATTTGTCAATTTAATTAACAAGTAGCCAACTGAAAACGAGGTGAAAACAAAACCATCAATTTAATCAACAAGCAACCAAATGAACCCTAATTGTATGAAAACTGGCTCGTGAATGCACAATTCAACCCATAGCTCATGTAGAACAAAATCACTTACGTTATTTTCATGGAGAATGGAGAAAACCCAAGTAGCAAGAAGATGAAGAACTGATCAACTTCCAAGCTAACTGGCGAGCGTGGCAGAAACAAACACGAGAATGAATCGGACAGTTGAATTCGTCGATCAAAAAAGACGATGAAGGCGAAGCAGGACGGGCTGATATATGTGACGGGAGGAGGTTACAGAGTGGTAGTTTTGATGAGGGGAATAGCTTTTAGATGGTAAAATAGTAAATAGTGAAGTTTGGATGTTAAATAAGTAAATAGAGTAGTTTTAAGTGTTAGGTATGTAAAAACTCCTATATTTTAATGTTATAGTTGCTTTGTATTTTTCATACATAAAATTAAATACATGTGACACATTAATATTTCTACTTCATATAAGTTAGCAATAAAAAGTAAATTTAATGCTTACTTCAACATCTCATGAACGAGAGGTGATATAGTCTTTTGTACCTTTCTTCGATTTTGTCGATCTTTTGAAAGGGCTGAGTTGTTATTGGAGCTTATTTTAGTTCTCTCCTATAGTGTGAACATATTAATAAATTATCATAAAAAGATGCTCATTTTAAAATTTTGATGTTTAAAATAATTCAAAATTTGAATTATACAAATACCATGCAGTTCCTATTTTATATCGATGTGTTAGCACTCCCTTGGGTGTTTTTTTAGAGCATATATACCAAATCTTGTGCTCTAAAATTTTCTTTAACATTGACAATTTCTTAAGCTTCAAAGTTAATAATAAGTAACTAGGCGTCTTAAATAGATTATTTTTGCACCAACCACCTGAACATTTCTATGACTTGCAGATATAGTGTCCACAAGTATTACATTCTAATAAATGATTGTTATATTTATAAAATAACATACACTTGTCACACAAACACCACATTTTCTCAACTTCTAAGCCAATTTTTTCACTATTTTGTAGCTAATATGTACATCACATGTTCACTTTTCACCTCCCAACATCATATATGGGCATAACTAGAGAGATATAGCAATCTTGGTAACCATTAGGCACTTTAAAATCAACTTTACATTTTATTAACTATGTAACTACTAACTACTACTAATTTTGAATGCCCCTTGCAACATTCTCATCAAGGCTCATCAGCATGTGCAAACCAAGCATAAAATTTAATAGCTTCTTCATTTTATGTTTCCTTAATTTTAGAACTATATATTTTTAATGTTATATCTTCTTCAAAAACTTATGGACCAATTATATCCCACGTCATATTAATATATTAATCGGTTTCAAATATTACTCGAGATATTAACTCAAAATAAGAGTGACTTATTCTTGATGATTTTCCTTAGCATAACATATAGATTATTGAATATATATATATATATATAACAACATTTAGGCCCAAAAAAGAAAAAATTAAATGAAAATAATAACAATCTAATCTCTTGAAAAGAAACTGCAGTTCTCAAACCAAGAGGGGATAAGGATAAATGAATAATTAACCTTCATGATGTTTACTCTAGGGTTTATGAATGCTAAAAGCTACCATTGCATTAGCATTATTTTATTTTAGAATAAATTTTAGAAAGAAATATATGAAAGAGGCACAGGATATCCTAACCTTGTCTTCTCGCCATCCTATCCATTTTCTTCATCATTACTTTAGTTTAGAATAAATTTTAATGAGAAATCTATGAAAGAAATACTTCATCATAAGATTCTAGCCTTGTCTTCTCAACATCGATCCAGACCATCTTCTCCAAAATTCATAATGGAGGTGATGCAGAGCATTTTTCTTAGGCATATGTTATTTAGTTTGTTACAAATTTGTTATACGATTCTAGAACCTTCTAGATTTCTCTAGTTTTATATTTATTATTATATATAATATGATGTAAGAAGAGTTGAGTCATTGATGAATATTATATGAATTGAAGCCTTGGAGCTTGGTTTGATCTCTTGTTCTTGGAAATCCTTCAAACATCCTCTTCTTCTAACGATCCAAAGATAGTCCCCCACATCAGGGTGATAAAGGGGAGAGAGCAATACACTGATGGATGCATGGAAATCGACGGACGCAACGCGATCGGAGAAGACAAGTCATGAGTTAGAAATATATGGGGCTGATCAGTTAGATGATACTTCTAAGGAAATAAAAACAAAACAAAAAAGAAAACTAATAGAGAAACATCCAATATTAAAGAAAGCACCGAATACTTGAAGAGAAATAATAACTTGGAATACGTACGCCACTTACAAACTACATCATCACATACAGATCTCAACCGCGTATAAACACGTACATAACGGTCAAACCTCAATAACAACGGTAACAAAGAACAATTTAGAAAGTATCATACATCATCGAATGATGAGAATCAAAAGACAACAATTTCAAACTGCAAACGACAGTAACACACAGCTAGAACGCGCACATCAAGGGTGGTGGGGCTCTTCCGGCTGCAAGTGGGGTATCTCGGGGAACTCCGGCTTGGGCAATTCATGAGGAATCTCCGGCAAAGGCGGAAACTCTGGCTTGGGGAGCTCATGAGGGATCTCCGGCAAGGGTGGGAATTCCGGCTTGGGAAAGTCATGTGGAATCTCAGGTAATGGAGGAAACTCCAGTTTGGGTAATTCATGAGGAATTTCCGGCAGCGGCGGAAACTCTGGTTTTGGGAACTCAGGTAAAGGAGGCAATTCTAGCTTTGGCAATGTTGGGTGCTCTTCCTTTGGGCTGTCTTCGAACAGAACTCGAGCGGCATTGCAAGCATAGTTGCTTGAGAAGACGAGCGCCAGAAGAAGAGAGCATATGATCATCAAAGATTTGGAGGCCATTTTCAGAGAAGGTTGGAGAACCTCGCTAGAGATGGTTGAAGAAGAAGGCTAATGCATGTACTATTTGTAGTGGAATTAAGAGAGCTTTTTTTTTTTTTCTGGACATAATTTACTGAGTTTGTGTGAAGCTTATCCTTAATTGATCGGTCTTAATTAATTATAAAGTAGTTCAGTTGGTGACTTTCTTCTGATCAGTTGTTTGTGTTTGGTTAGACGATTGGCGAAATTGAGCAGAACAGAGAGAGAGAGAGAGAGAGAGAGATGATGCGATTGTTTTGTTAATTTTGTGTCAGCTCAACTTCCTATCAGTAATGCCAGAAATTTGTTTTGGAGGGGATGATCAAACGCACCAAACTAGGAAATAAGGGGCAATCGAAGGTTATTTTTTTCATAAATTAACATTAATGTCAAGAATTTTAGGACTAAGCCTTAGCCGGTCAATTGAGAAATTATATGACTATTTCAACTTTACGCAGCTTGCATTTATATATATAGAGAGAGATATCATATCATGCAATCTTAAAAGTCTATGTTAAAATAAGCATTTCAATTAAGGGGAATTTACATACATACCACTTTATTACATGTTATATATTTACATATTTATAATACTTAAAATTTTAATATTACATTCCTACAACTCATATAAAATTTTAATATAAAATATATCACTTTTGCATTTCATTCTTACCATTCATATCACTCTATAAATTTTAATATTTCATTCCATGAACCTATATTTGTTATATGGGTGGTAAATATGTAATATTAAACTATTAGATGTTAGATATGTAAATAATATGAAAAATAGTGGTATATATGTAAATCCTCCTTAAATTAAATATGATGATTAATTCAAAGCAGATCATAATATCATGCAACCTTGAAACTCTGTGCTAAAAATTTTTATAAGATACTTTTAGATTTACATAAATACATAGATAATCTCTGTATAAATAACATGATGTTAGTAGAATAGGTTATATGCATATCAAAAAATATGATCTGTGACCAAATAAAGTTTATAATTTATGCCATATCGCACAATCTAGAATTTATAATCGATAAGTGATGAATTATATAGATACCAAAAAATTAAAAAAAAAATACATATATAATTATTAATTTAATGTTCATATAGATATTAATTTACTAAATAAAAAGATTAAGAAATAATAGACATATTTCTGAATATATTATTGAAATGTCTTGATAAAAAAAGTATATCAAGGCTATAATGTTTAGCCTGTCATCGATCTAATATAATAAACCCAATAAAAAAATAGGCTATAACCCAAAAAAAATTTAAAGAATTCCAATTAACCCATTCTCCTACATTGGAAATGGAATTGAACCAGCTCAATTGAGCTATAAACAATCTTCTCTCACATGTATACGTGCCTAAAACAACAACAACGTCATCAAGCCTCGGCTATATAAATTCTTTTTCTTCATTGTGTCTGATTAAGAATCAAATTCTCATTTAAATCTAATAAAGAAAGATCATTTCTAATATCTTCTAATGAAGCCTTACTTTTATGCATACCTGATACTTATAAAATATAATATAGTTAATTTTTTTCATAATCACCTACATTTTCTAACACTTTTTTGGCCAATCACAGAGTTTGATTTAGCATTTAATAATAAATATTAAAATTAGCAATGTGAAAATTAAACACAATGTAATATGCATGAACATTCATCTCACTCTTAGCATTTAATCTTGTGGACCAAATTATGAAGAAATTATTACGTGTGGAGTCAGGATGTAACTCGTGTTTGGACTCTAATGAAATCAAGGCATGTGGCTTGTATACATCTTGTATACATACAACTTGTACATACACACCTTATGTACAAGCCACGTTGTTTGATTTTATTAGCGTCCGAACAACTCTAAACTCCGCACTTAATAATTTCTCCAAATCATGCGTGGAGGAACACATTATAAGATAATTTATTTAAACATGCATTTCTCACACCATGTAACTATATGCATCAAGTAGGGGTGTTAATATTTGACATGACACGAAAATTCGACCCGGATTTTTGGGTTAGACCCAATCCGATTTCAAAACGGGTCGAGTTCTGGTTGACCCAACAGGTTGTCAGGTCAACCCGAAAATCAGTTTAAAATGAGCTGCCCGAGACTGTCCGTTGATATCTGCGCCTGCCCGCACCCGTCCACGGATGCCTGCATCATCCAGCGACAGCTTAAAATGATTCTACTAGTATGAGGTATGGCCAACTTAAAATGATTCTACTAGTATTTATTATTGATTACAAATGAGACCCTTCCTAGGGGGAAGGCATGGCTCGATGTGGAAAAGATACATCATATAGAGCACATTACATTGTGAAAGTTGGAAGAATCTAGTGATATAAGAGTTGTTCCCAAAAGAGAGTTGGCCTATTCATTTGGTCAGTAGGGTCATAGTTGGTGGGCGACTGGGGTTGGAGGGGCCGTAGTCAATGGGAAATGGAGGTTGGGGGATTTGACAGTGGTCAAAGGGATAGTAGTTGACGGGGATAGTAGTTGACGAGCGACGGTGGTCAGAGGAACCATAATCAGCTGACAATGGAGGTCATAGAGACCGTAGTCGGTGGGCGTTGGAGGTCAGAAGGATCGTAGTTGAGGGACAGTAGTTGACGTGTGATGGTGGTCGGTGGGACGATAATCGGCTAACGACGATAGCATGAAAAACATTAATCGGGCGGAGCTCTAGGAGTAGTCAGCAGACAAGTGGTGGTCAGGACAATCGACAACCAAGCTGCGGCCAACGGAATTTTGTCGGTGGTGGTGCTTGGGTAGAATTATATGATCCTTGAAGCTTGAGAGCTCTCTCAAATCTTCAGCAAAATGTCCATTCAAGAAGAGAGCATTGGCCTAGCCATTTATAGATTTTTATGAGTGACACGCTCTATAAATATGGAGAAGATCCCAACCAAATTCGAAGTGCTTCATCAGACAACTCATATTGATTCCCTTGATCATATAGCATTTATTCCCTACATTTAAGTGCCTTAATCCTATTTGAATAAAGTGATCATAGGCTCGTTGGATTTGTGTCGTCGAGCCGCTTTATTCGACTATAAGCATGTTATATTTGATATCATTTGATCATCCTATTTATACTTTGAATTTTTCAAATGTGTTTCGGCCTCTTAATTTGGATCCATCTGGGCTCGAACTTGACCGATTTTGGTGTAGTTGGGTTCATCTTTTCGATACTTCAATTTGATTGTAAGTTTGTTGAAATCTGATCCTAAAAATAATTTCGGAAGTTGCCAACTCATATATGCGTCGAGATTTATGCTTTATCAAGATGAATTTTTATGATGTATCGATCATAATTATTTTATAATCCAATAAATATACTTTTTAATAACATTGTGTTATTTTCTAATTATTTGAAATCCATATATCAAAATACTTTGAATTTCTTTCATTTAAAAAAATCCATAGATACAAATCATTGAAAAATATATTTTAAGGAGGACGAATAATATGCTCTTCAACATGTTAAAGGCAAACTGTTCCATTAAAATCTGTCAAAACAGCCATCTAACAAACCCAAATTCCATGCAATTTGTGCCATATTAAAACTTGATTTTTAAGGTTTGATGAGAGATTATTTTGTGCGGACATCAGACGCAGATTATCGTCTACAGAAGAATCAGGTGTAGCTAAGTCATCTAGTACCGAGCCGCGGTATCAAGTAGGGGGTGACATGACTCATTTTCATTTGGCTCTAAACGGAATTCGGCGTCTACACAGAATAATTCATTCACATTGACAGAGAAAGCAGTGGGCTGAAAAAGGACTTTGTTTATGTCTTCTCTGGGTAAGGCAATCTGAAACACATCTTAAAGAGAAAAGGCCCATGAAGGAATTAACATCTGAAAGGGTTGGACTGGACAAGTCCATGAAAGGCCCACTCGTAACATTTGCAGCTGCTCTATTTTTTGTCCACTCAAGCTCAAAAACTGCTGGAGATTTTTGAAAAAAAATAATGATTTTTTATTTAATTTAAGTATTATTAAATTTTATTCATGCATCCCATACTTTAATATATTAAGTTGATATCAATTAGTTTCGAATTCTCTTATTAAGGACTTAGGTTTTCTACAATTTTGAATCTAATGATTAGAATATTCTTCTTTCAAATATCTTTTTTTTTTAATAAATAGTATAAATTTTTACTTTGCTAATTATATATATCCATTATGTATACTTCTATGTTATAGGCATATAATTGTATATTATTTTTGGGTGCTAAAAAATTTGTTGGCTACAGAGATTTTTATCTTATAATTTTATAGGAAGATTCAACATATCAAAATTAAAAAAAAAATGTAAGTTACACTTGTTGCTGGCTAGAATATACGCGGATATATAGTTAGAATTTTTCATCTCAGCGTTGTACGGATATTCAGCACACAAAACAGAAGAGAAATAAAACACCAGAATTTTTATGTGGAAAATCCAAGAAAGGGAAAAACCACGAGGCCACGTCTAGTTGAAATAATTCTACTAGTGTTAGCTTGAGTCACAAGAAGCTGACTTGTCTTTAAAATTTATAATGATCATATTACAATAATCAACTCTCTGGTTGAAATTCAGTTGCAAACGGATATCAGAATGATGGCGTCAGAAATTTGGTGTTCGTTAGTTGTTGGATAGAGTTCTAGCATTACTTGGAAGTCAGATAGAAATCTGGCGTCAGTTGGAGGTCGAGCGGAATTCTAGCGTCACTTGAAAGTTAACTTGGAGTTCAAATGGAACTCCGGCGTCACTTGAAAGTCGAGAGGAACTCCAGCGTCACTTGGAGGTCAGACGAAACTCCGGCGTCACTTGAAAGTCGGAAGGAACACCAGCGTCACTTGGAGGTTGGACGGAACTCCGATGTCATTTGAAAGTCGGGATGAACTCCAGCAGTGGTCGAGGAGGAGCTTCTTCCTTATCTTCGTTCCTTCACTTCTTCTCTTCTATTCTCTTATTCTCTTCTCTTCGTTCTTGGGTCCCCTCTTAAGAGAAATAATGGACTATTTATAGTTTTTTTTAGGATTGCATGGCCAGTAAATA